TGATTGTTTATCTTCCAGGCCACCACCCAATTCCGTGAAACATTGGTGTTGATTTCACTCGATAATTATGGCGGCGATAGCTTCGGGATCGGTGGTTCCGGCGAATCGGAGGAGGGTACCGATGGAGGAGGAGAGGATGACCTTCGAGACCTCGGAGGGGGTGGAACCCATATCGACCTTCGAGCAGATGGGCGTCAAGGACGACGTCTTGCGGGGGATTTACGCGTACGGGTTCGAGAAGCCGTCTGCCATCCAGCAGCGGGCTGTTCTGCCCATCCTGTCGGGGCGCGACGTCATTGCCCAGGCCCAATCTGGTACTGGAAAGACCTCCATGATTGCCCTCACCGTTTGTCAGATGGTCGACACCAAATCCTCCGAGTACGAACTCTTTTCTCATCTCGAAAGTGTGATTGTTAACGGCGTATCCGTATTTTCTATTTTCTAGGGTTTTGGGTAGTTTCTGTTCCAATTTAAGGTTTACACACAGTCATGGCGTTCTTCTATAGGGTACTGGGGTAAATTTGATTTTCAGGTTTTGGGTGTGAGTCATGGAAAACAAAGTGAAACTATGTTAACCATAAAATTATTTTGGGTATGTCTGTTTTTTTAAATTCGTCATAATACTCCTCCAGATGCATAATGAAACCGTTCTGGTGGAGCTGGAAAACATTAAAGGGAAACTTGCAGAGCTAAGATCTATCGCATTGAAGTTCACAGATGTGCTAATTTTACTGTGAAAATTAATATAAATACTCTAATTTTAGCTTATAAAATATTGTCTTGTTAATTTGGATGTCATGGGGTGTTTTGAAAATATTCTAAATTGAGCTTATTTTATAGCTCTAGCTTTTTAGGAGTAGTTTATGTTTGACATTGGAGGATTTTGAGTAATGTGTTAATGTAAACTGTTTTAACTCCACTTTAGATTTTCATAGAAGAGATTTTTTATTTTTTTTGAAAGCTTTATGATACCATCATATATAATATGTCAGGGGCTAGTGGTTGTTACTTAAAATGCTGCAAATAGCCTTACTAACTTTTAAGTTTATCAGCCCTAGAAGCAATTTCGTTTGGTTGTCTATTTTACTCTTATGCTCCTTATTATTGCCTGATAGACTCTGCAAATGTTTTGGAAGAGTCCATATCCAGAAGATAATAATTATGCTGTGCAGATTTCAATTGGAAGGCCATATTTTCCTTGCCCCATGTGGGAATGATTTGCTTAGCAGACCTTAAATTCAATTCAGGAATACTTATAACTCTTTTTCCTTAGGGTTCAAGCATTGATATTGTCGCCTACCAGGGAGCTTGCATCACAAACTGAAAAGGTGATATTGGCCATTGGTGATCACATAAATGTTCAGGTACATGCTTGTATTGGAGGCAAAAGTGTGGGTGAGGATATCAGAAAGCTAGAGCATGGTGTTCATGTGGTTTCTGGAACTCCTGGAAGAGTGTGTGATATGATTAAAAGGAGAACCTTACGTACTAGAGCAATAAAACTACTAATTTTGGTAAGTTCAATAATTCTTCCCTTTATGAAAGTTACATTTCTGCATTTTCATGGGCTAAGTTTTAATATTATATGATCCTTGGACTTTTGTAGGATGAATCTGATGAAATGTTGAGCCGTGGTTTCAAGGATCAGATTTATGATGTTTATAGATATCTTCCGCCAGAGCTTCAGGTTATCTCTACTTCTTTTTTTGTGTACATTCACACTAGCTTCCTCCATACATATATGTGTAACTTTATTGAGGCTATTGTAGTCAATGTACTTGATTTCTTTCTTTGGGGTACAGTACTTGCATGTGTGATGTGATATGCTCTTGAGATTATTTTGATTAGAAAATATACTGCGCTCATTGATACTTAAATGAGATTACACACGACATTTGTTAACATTAAGTATAGGTCATTTACTGAAAGCCGGATTTATCTCTTCAGGTTGTTGACTGAAATTTATTTTATTTAATTGTATTAGCATCATTATTCCATTGGTATGACTTTTTGTAACATGTAGCTTAACATGTTTGCCTTTATAAATTGTAGGTTGTATTGATTTCTGCCACACTTCCAAATGAAATTTTGGAAATGACAAGCAAATTTATGACAGACCCTGTTCGGATCCTAGTAAAACGTGATGAGTTGACCCTAGAGGCAAGTCTTCTTTTTCTACTAGGAAACATTGAAATATCTACAGTTTGAAATATATTTTATTTGTTCTAATTTGTGGTATCTGAGTATATTATTTTACTCATTCCAGGGCATCAAACAGTTCTTTGTTGCTGTGGAGAAAGAGGAGTGGAAATTCGACACACTTTGTGATCTTTATGATACCCTGACCATCACCCAAGCTGTTATTTTTTGCAATACAAAGCGGAAGGTAAAATTGCTACATGTTCTCTTGGTTCATTTTCCCTGAATTTCGAGATGCTATTGATTGTTTTTATCCAATCTTCTTTGGGGTTTTCTAAATGTGGGAGTGTTTGGTTACACTAGACATCTAATTGATCCAATGTTTTTTCATAGATAGGTTTGTTAACCACCCAATGAGTAATTACAATGGGATTAAGAAAATGTTCAACTGAAACCAAGATTCGTCAAATAATTAATAGTGTTTAGTTTCATAGGCCACTGTGATGAAGGAATAAAATATCATAATTTATGGTGACAGGTGGACTGGTTGACTAGCAAGATGCGTGAAAATAACTTCACAGTCTCATCCATGCACGGGGATATGCCACAAAAGGAGCGAGATGCTATAATGGGAGAGTTCCGGTCTGGCACAACTCGTGTCCTCATTACAACAGATGTTTGGGCTAGAGGGCTGGATGTTCAACAGGCAAGTTCTTTTTCCTTGCAGTTCAAAATTTATAAATTTCATAACTAAAAAAGTTTTCTTCATTCAACACTCCATATTACAAAAGCTTTATCTAAATGTGTTGGTTAACAAATAAGTCTAAAGTCATATAGTCAACACTCCATATTATAAATGCTTTATCTAAATGTGTTGATTAACAAATAAGTCAAAAACATATAGAACCAAAATATAAGAAATAGGAAGCCAGAAATAGAAATAAGCCAGTGTTAAGTGCCTACCAAATAGAATTCAAACTGTGATCTGATGGATCAATATTCTCAACAATTATTACCATTCCAGTAAGATTAGATCCTGTTTGGTTGATGAGGTGAAATTCTCTGATCTTAAACTGACCTACAATTGGAATAATGGATCAGAAAATATTCTAACCCTTATTTTGAACTAACCAATATTCTTGCTTTGTCTTGACCAAATGTGGATTATGCCAAAAGATCTGTTCTTCATTTTTTTTTGTAAATCTAGATTAAGGGTGCCAGACTGATTTGTTTACTTGACAAAGTGACTGCCCATTTTAACTACCATCTCTGTAAGCAACCTTATAAATTTGGTTTTTCCTAATTTGCAGGTTTCCCTGGTTATTAACTATGACCTTCCAAACAATCGAGAACTCTACATTCATCGCATTGGTCGTTCTGGTCGTTTTGGGCGGAAGGTACTTTTTTTTTTTCCTTATTCTGCTTTGACATCTGTGCATTTGTTAATTGGAGCTTGGTAAATTTTAAGTAGTAATTTAAGCACTGTTAGAAAATACAACTGTGTTTAAAAGCAGTTCAACAGTATTACATTTTGATCTGTTTATTATTATTTATTTTAATACTGGCAAATCTGTTGAGCACTGATCTTATTGAAAGTAATATTCACTTGGTCACTAATATATATTAGTAGTTGGCTTATTATTAATTACAGTATACATATATTATGTAGTAGAGAAGTTATGTCCTGGAATCTCTCGGTGCATTTCATCTCATTTTTTATATTTTATTTATTCTTTGTGATTGCAGGGTGTTGCGATAAATTTTGTTAAAAGTGATGATATCAAAATTCTGAGGGACATAGAGCAATACTATAGTACCCAGATTGATGAAATGCCAATGAATGTTGCGGATTTGATATGATGGGCCTTTGCCAAGGGACGATCTTCTACTTCTACTCTGCAAAGCAATGGTGTCAACATTTTGCAATGGGCTTGACTTGTGTGATGGGTTTGTACTACGGGTGCATTGTCCTTGTCAAGTTTTAAAACCACTTTGTAATCAGATTTGCCTGTCTGGAATGGATTGGTTTGGGATCTGGATTTTGACACTATAATTTCAGTAATTGTGTGTATACTAATTGTGATCACCTTTTAGCATTAGGATTGATTATCATGAGTATGTTCAGACGTTTATAACTTATTTTTATGAACAAACGCTTGTGCTTCTCCCTAACTTTACTATTTTTGTATTGTTTTGTCTTGTTTTGTATAATGTGTCAAAAAAAAAAAAGATTAATAAATGTCTCATTGCCCCAATTGGTATGGTATTGTGATGGTCTGGTTTCAATGGATAATTGGGTTAATACTTACAAAATTTTAAGTTCAATTTTCTATTGTGTATTGAGTTGGTCAGTTAATTATGAGCAATTTAAATTAATATATTTGTGGTTCTCTATGGCCTTTTGTCAGTTATAAAGTTTTTACTTAAGTTGATTTTTTTTTTTGTGATTATTTGCCAGTTATTTTTTCTTGGTGGTTTTGCCTGTCACAAAATGTTTGCCAAATATTTTATACCAAATATTAAATTTAGTAATTCAAAGTACATTAATGTTTAAACTTTATACTTTTAAATTAACAAATACGGAGCCAAAGTGACTTTTCTAAGTGGGAGGTCGGAGGTCATTGATTCAGACTTTCATTAGGTTGAGCCAAAGTGATTCTCCTAAATGAAAAGTCGAAAGTCATGAATGACGGACTCTCAGTAGGTTGAGAAAATATAAATGAACATATACTATTGTCAGTATCAAGTAATCAAAAGAAAAAAAAAAAAAAAACAAAAAAGTTAACAAATAAGGAGTACTCCGTATTGAATAAATAAATTACTACGTACAAAATATGTGAGCGGAAGAGAGGAAAATTCATTTTAATTATCTTTTAAAAATATTGAGTAAATATTGATATTGATGTTCTCGGCAGTGAATACAAACGTGAGTCGCCGATGTTTAGTGCTCATCGGCAATCGATGAGGAATCTTACACTGGCCTTGCTTCTGCTCCTACTGCAGCCGTTACCGGCACTCTTCCGGCCAGCCGTTGCTGCTGAGGAGTGCGACGGCGGCAGGCAGCCATTAGTGGAATGGCAGACCCTCACAAAACGCAACTATTCTTCGGAGATCCGTCTCCATCCCCATCTTCTCCTCCTCGTCACCGTTCCCTGTAAGCCTCAACTCTTTCCAATCCCCTCTGTTTTCAGCTTATTTATTTGATTTACTTCTTTTTTGAATTCTTGTAGCCGACCATATGAACATTGCAATTAGTTCGCAAGTGTGTGTGTGTTTCCGAAGTTTTTCTGTTGGGCAAATATACTGCTAGTAACTTTTAATTGATTGAGCAAATTCAGATTATCAAGGTATTAAACATTGGAGCAAATGGATTACTGACTGTTCAATTTGCGTGATCTGGAGTGCATGTAGAAAATGTCCATATAATTTGGGACGCATAGATGTTAGGTTTTTCAGTTTATTAGATTTTTCTCTTTCGATAGGCAAGTACATGATCTGCATTTCAGCCTGGAATTAATGAGCGTATCCATTGAATTCTCAATTCCACTTATGAAATATCTATAAGCAGATGCTGTGTATATGGTTAGATAGAGTACTCCAATTGCAATCTATGAAACAAGTCAGAGTGAAAATACATGATCAGAGTGGTAGGGACTAGGGAATAGCAACTTTTAAGAGATAAAACACACATTAGTGTTGCGGATTAATGCTGCATTTGTTTGCTCCAACTTATTATCATCTTTTGCCCATGTTTCACTGCTAGTGCATGTTTCTTTCTCTTTGCTCACTTTATTGGTTTTTAAATGTGCAATTGCTACCAATCTCTTTAGCTTAAATGCTCTGTGTGTTTACCACTTTACTATTAACATTTACCGTAATGCTCCTTGATCAGGGTCTGGAGAGTCTAGGTCCCTTATGAAGCAGTTAGGTCATGCAGTAAATAGTGAGCAATGTAGATTTGGCTCCCTAAAGCTGAGGGTACTATTTAGGAACAGTGAGAAAATGCTGGCTGATGCGCTCGGTGCTAACACTGGAATTTCTGTTCTATATTATCATAATTCCTTGTTTTACAAGTATCGTGGGAGACTTAGAGCTCACAGCATATTATCATCTGTCCATTATGTTATGTCATTATTGCCTGAAGAACTTCCTCTGAAATCTTTGAACACACCGGAGGAGCTGAAAGCTTTCCTTGGTTCAACTGACAAGGCTTTACTTCTCTTAGAATTTTGTGGGTGGACTCATGAAGTGCTGGCCTCAGGCAAGAATAATGGAACAGAAAATGGATTTGGTATATATCACATCTTCAATTTATTTTACTTTATTATTTTATTTTTTATTTTTTATTTTCTGGAGGGGGTTGGTGCTTTAATTTATTTCTTTCCTTTTTCCTGGAAGAATGAAAGATGGTTTATGACTATTCTACTATTGAGAAATTTTATCTTTCTGAATTCTGACAGACCCACAAACACTCAATCTAATGCCAAATTAAGAATTAGTTGTGCAGCCATATATTTTACTGCACCTCATGATTTTGTTAAACAGTGGAGGGACCTATGTGGTCTAACTTGAAACAAAATTTTCATGCCTTCGACCATTTTTGAAGTGGGCAAAAACGTACAGTTTCCAGTCCTATTCTTGTTTAAATTTTTTGCTAACTTACCTTTCCAAAGGAATGAACCAAAAGTATACACCATCGGTGAATATTGATGATTATAACCTTCACCCACCCTTTTGAAATTCCCTTGCTTAATATGAATTACTTGGTGAATTACAGGTTAACATCTCTAGCTTTGCCCATGATCACTCTCTTGAAGTTCCATTGCTAACACTCACTAGGGAAATGGCACCATAAAGTTTTATGGTATCACATTGCTGAATTTCAAAATTTATTCTCCAACTTAAAATTAACTTCCCTAACAATTTTGGATGGTATGAGAATTTGATTCCAAGCAATGCAAAACATAGGGAGTGACCAATAATTCACTATTAATTAAAATTCTCAGAGCATTTGACTAATGGGAACATCTTTTAATTCGTGGAGTTGCCTTCTTAATATGATAAGTCACATTAATTATGATTTTGTTACACTTAACCAGTAATTTTTATTGATGCAATGTTGGCATTTCTGTATTGGAGTGAAGTAGCATTGAAGTTGTATCATGACAACAAAGTTCAATTTTGGACAGGTTTGAATGAAGAGTTAAATGAAACAATTTCAACCAATGAGAGTACAGCTCAAAAGGTGGGCAGTTGTTTTCATTATGAGGCCAGTATTGGCATAAAGATTAAAGAACATTTGACATGATGGTTAAAAGTTTATGTATATGTTTCTCAAACTAGGGGATGAAAAATGAGAAGATGGATTGTGACATTGATGATGGGGTTGGTTTCATTCCTCAGCTTAACAAGTTTACTTTAGGAAATGAGAGTGCTCTCTCAACTCCTGGAAATACGACACATGGTGGATCTTCTTGTGAAATTAATGAATTTGTACGTTTTAAGTCTTTCTTAGAAAAATCCCTGACAGTTACAAGAGAGTTTTTTCTTCCTCCTGAAAGGCTAAAATTTGGTCTAGTTCCCAATAGATCACTGCTTTCAGTGCTAAATATTGAAGATCCAGGACCATGGTTGATGACACTGCAAGTTGCTGGATGCCCAACTTGTTCAAATGTTCTCAAAGAGGGTGATGATCTAAAAACCATTATACAGACTCAAGCATCACTCGTTGCAGAGGTAAGTTTTCCATTTATGTCCATTGTCTATTTATCTAGCTTATTTTGAGATAGCAAGATATCAGCCATTGATTGCACATCTTTGTGTCTTTCTGCATGTGTTGTATATCTCATGCTATTTGTCTGACTTATTTAATATGTCAAAGTTTTTATTATCCTAGAATTGTTCTATATAAGCAACCTAGGAATAGTGATCTTATTATACTTGGAGTGTTTGTGTCCAATTTTTTTTTAATATCCTATTGCAAATATTAAAGGTCCATCATGGACCGTCCATGTTTCACTGTTCATCTATGAATCCTATGGTTGTTATTGGTTAAGCACTTAAGCTAATAAACTTATGTTAGTACTGCACCTTTTTGTTCCTCCATCCCATGTATTTTATAGATTCATTTTATACTCTGCAGCTGGAAAATGATGCAGATGACCCTGGGCTCACTCTTCCGGCTAATAAGCCCTCAATGCTTCTTTTTGTCGATAGATCTTCAGATTCATCAACTTTGAGACAAGAGAGCAAGCAAGCAATTGATGCTTTTAGAGAGTTAGCACTGCATTATCATAATTCTCATCCGGGGAGTGGAAAAGATACTTTAATTTCTGAAAAGAGATCTGCTGAAGCAATACAAAAATTGAAGGGTGCTTCCAAACACCGTAGATTAGATCTTTTTCAAGCAGCACAAAAGATAAATGTCAATGAAAAGATGTCTATTGTTATAATGAATGAGGGGAAGCATGTCTCTGTTGAAAACCTTGTTGCTGATTTGCAAGGTAGTTCCCTCCATGAGATATTGACATATGCACTTAAGCAAAAGAAGGAGATGAAGTTAAGCACAATAGCAAAAGGTGCAGGATTTCAACTCCTATCTGAAGATCTTAACATCGAACTTGGTGATACTTTAGCAGTACAGGAAGGTGATCAGTCCGACCAAGTTTCTGAATCCCCCACGGATAATGTGTCTAAAGATACTCTTGATTCAAAGTCTTCTCATAATGATCCTTCTAATGTTAACACAGAATATGCTCCACCTTTAGCAGTGCAGACAGAAGTTCAGTCCAACCAACCTTCTGAGGGAGACCCTGTTGTTGTTCAAGAAACTACTCTGGACTTAGGTAAGATTCTAATGCCAGAAAAGGCAGATATTTTTTATGGAGAGCATGTGGCACAGTCAGAACTCTCTGCTGCTGAATCATTTCAGCAGAATAATAACGAGAATTTTACTGAACATTCTGATGTACAAGATGCCACAGATAATTTGGAAAATGAGAGGATCTTTGAGAAAACTCTTGAGGTAGATGAGCAAAATCAAGAGAAAAGTTTTGGAGGTTCCTTCTTCTTTTGTGATGGTCAATACAGATTGCTTAGAGCCCTAACTGGGGGGTCAAAGATTCCATCTGCAGTAATAGTAGACCCAATTTTGCAGCGACATTATGTTTTAGCTGAAGAAGCAGTTTTCAGCCATTCTTTACTAGCTGAGTTTCTTGATAGATTTATTAATGAGAGTCTTCCTCCATATCAACAATCTGAGCCTTTTGCTCCAAATCCCAGGGTGGCCCCAAATCCACCATTTGTCAATCAGGATTTTCATGAAGCAGATTCTATACCTCGAATAACAGCTAATAGCTTTACTGAGCTGGTTCTTGGAAATCTTTCTGACCCTATGTATGGTAGCAATTCTTGGAGTCGAGATGTGTTGGTTCTTTTCAGCAATAGTTGGTGTGGTTTTTGCCAGAGGATGGAGTTGGTTGTTCGTGAAGTATATCGAGCAATCCATGGATATGCAAATATGCTAAAGACTGCATTTGTTGACAACAAAATGTCATTGACTGAAGGTAAGTTGGCAGTCCAATATCAATACATGATACATCCCCCCATATCTTATCTTTTGTAATGGAGTATCCAGTGAATCCACCTAGGCTAACTGGCTGGTTCTTTTTCCTTGAGCAACCTTTTCTATATAATTTAGCCTCATTAGCTTGAATGTCTTCAAATTAATTGGAAAGAGAAAAATCAAATAAGCATTAGAAGCTGTTCAATTTTGTGCTTAGAATCCACATAAATATGTAGTGCATGCGATAAAACAGTCCATCTTAAATAAAAAATTGATTTGCCAATAAGGTTTATTCATTTATTTATTATCACTTGTAGGGGTATGCAACCTTAAAGAGAAATCTACAGTCTGCATGGTTAAATGACCTTGACTTATTATCATCATCATCATTATAAATGGAGAGAAATTAAATGATCTTGACTTGCTACAATAAATCTCTGGGATCTAATTATAGTGCACTCCATCCTTTTGGTGAACTTGTGGCAGATGGTCTGACAAATGCCTTGGTGAAGCTTCCCTTGGTTTACTTGATGGACTGTACATTAAATGACTGCAGTTTGATCCTGAAACCACTGGTTCAGGTATGAGCATATTGTTTTTGTCCACACAAAAATGAACAGCGTTCTCCAAATTACCTTTGTGTCAATAGCTATGCTTATCATTTTTTCTTACATGTTATGCTTTAGGCACATACGCTTTAATTATTGGTGCCACATATGGTAATTTTCTTCTCAATTTTTGTGCAATCGGTGTATTCAGGAGACTGAAATGTTAAACATTGATAGTGGTTTTCCCCACCACCACCCTCCTTTCTATTTTTATGCATAGTTCATTGATGACTAACTATTATTCTCCCTGTTGTTGTTGATGCTTAGTGATACGATCTCTTAAATAATATAACTTTCTTATTTCAAATGAGTGCTATTATTTGATATTATTGTTATTTGTTATCTTTATATCTGACTAGCAGAGTAAACTTTACTCATGTTCTTATATGCTGTACTTGTATCCAAAATATGCAGAGAGAAGTTTATCCATTACTACTATTATTTCCAGCTGAGAGCAAGAATGCTGTCCTCTATAAAGGAGATGTAGCTGTATATGAGATCATTAAGTTTCTTAAAGAACATGGCAATGATTCGTCTGGTCTTGTTAGGGAGAAAGGTAAGCTTTCTTGAATTTGCTTCCTCTGCTTGCCTTACCCCTTACCTTTTGCCCACCTGTAGAGATCAAAAAAGTAAATTTCTGTATTCCCAAAAAAACAATTTTCTTAAAGTAGTTCTTCATCAACAACCTTAGAGTTGACCGAAATTTCATTAGATATCTCTGTTGCATCGATATGGTAAACTTAGTAAAAGACTGAAGTAGATACAGCAATTATAAATAATAAGAGTTAATACCATCTGAGGTCCTCCGAGTATAGTGGTTTTGCCACGTTTAGTCCTAAACTTTCAAATTGACCATATGTGGTCCTTCGACTTTCAAATTTAACCATTCGTGGTCCAAGTTAACCACTCATGGTCCTTCAACTATTAAATTTTAACCAACCATGGTCCTTTCAAGAGGACCACGACTGGTTAAATTTCGAAACTCGAAGGATCATGGGTGGTTAACTTGGACCACAAATGGTTAAATTTAAAAGTCGAAGGACCACAGATGGTCAATTTGAAAGTTTAGGACTAAACGTGGCAAAACCACTATACTCGGAAGACCTCAGATGGTATTAACTCTAAATAATAAATATAAATATATAATTTTTATCATAAAAGTAATAAACATACACTAATCTCTTCACTTTTGCCATAATGATAAAGAACCTCTCAAAGAATCCATTGCTTAGCCAACTTGGTTAGTATCTTTTCAAATAAGTCATTAGCTACTAGAAAACAGTAAAGAAATTCTCACTAAAATGAACAATTTTTAAGCAAAATCTTAAATTAATATCTCAGTGTTAAACACAATAATATTTTCCAAGTTATGCAAAAATCACAAAGTAGTTATTGATTTCATTTCTTCCTTATTTCAATGTCACGCCCCCAAAACCAAAGCATGGCCTGGCCATATTACAAAGACAGCTAGTATAATACAAAGCCCGCTTAGACAACTCTCTGAAGCATGGCCCGGCAATGTTACAAAGACATAGCTAACATTATGAAGCCTAATGTAAAGCCTGCTTAAACATGCACAACACAAGGAAAGTACCACGAACATTATATACACACTCTAACCCACATGAAAAAAAGTAGAGATCGCTAATCAAACTATCATTTCCCCAATAGATAGCTTAACTTCAGGATAGAAGGTACACATTCATGTCATAGTATTGCCCAAAAATACACTACATAAACACCGGAATACAAGTTGGCCGCAAATAATCCTTCCAAAATTCATGATTAACACATGACATTATCACTTATTTATCAGTGTCCTAACATCATCTTCATGGCCAAGCTTACTATTCACCTCTACTTCCCAATATCCACCTACAAATCCATAAGATATAGGGATGGACAAGTGAGCTAAATAGTCCAATAAGTGAATTGATCTCTATTGGATCAACCGTAAAAACAAGATTAGGAATGAATAGAACATAGGCGATAAAGATAGAGCTAATATTTAATACATAGGTACTACATGCAAGTAGTGTTGAAAGAATCGCTAGGCGGTCTTTTTTTTTTTTTTTTTTTTTTTTTTTTTTTTAATAATTATAAACTATTTAATACTTTAACAGTTAATACTAAAATATTAAATATTAACCTAAAAAGCATCTAGAATTGTAAATTGTATAAAGATTTAAGGAATCAAAACACAATTCCACGAAGTCACAACTCACAAAGTATCAACTTAGATCCAAACTTCGAAATCAAATCATAGAATCATAGAGAAAATAATCAAGTCCGAACTCCAAATGGCGTCGTTTTGAACGATTTAAGGTTATTTCGCTCAAAACGACGTCGTTTGAGCGAACTAACACTTAAAAAAGAACACCAGGAGCGATAGCTAATCGGTCGACTAGGCGGCCTATGCGGCGCCTCGAACACCGATTACGGTGATATTCTAGGCGCCTAACACCGATTAATTGGCGCCTAGGCGCGATATTTGCAACAATGCATGCAAGTAATAAATTCATAGTTTTTTTCGGAAGTCATAAGTAATTAATAATTAACTAACAGAAGTTAGGTGGTACCTCTTATAATCTAAGATTGGGCCAAGGTCACTCAATTGGGGCTATAATGCACATGGGCTTTACCACACTAAAAGACTTAATCCAATCAATTAGCTAGTCTAACTCATACCCTTATAAACTCATATGTTCTCTCTTATTTTATCAAAGTGGGACTCGTAACACCCAACTAGCACAATTATCAAATATATAATACAATGCTAGTTCACAGTTTCACTTTGACTGCTATTATACCCATTGCATGGGCCAAAATTGACACAACTAATTTCACAAATCAAGGGTAGATAGGTTACAAATTCAAAATCAAGGGAACATTCCAAATCAAGGTGGCGAGGCCACCTATTTAAAAGGTCAACTGGTCAAGTGAATGTTCCAAGCCAATATCGACACTTAATTGTAGGACGAACAACAAATACTTATTTCAATAGTCAAGTTGTACATAAGATGTTCCCTTTCCAAATTTTCACCTCAAAGTAGTTCTCTACGAGTTAAGCAAGTCAAGTTGAAAATATTTCTTTCACTTTTATGCTTGATCCAATTTGATAAATACCTTCAAGTATGTATAGTCAACACTCAAAACATATATCAAGTTTTCATTAAAATGCAACAAAACCATAACATACAATATGTACACATATTCAAGACTAGCTATAATATTTCAATAACCACTAAAGATACAGTAAATAGGTGAAAATGGATAGAGAAGTCCTAAATTCATTTAGTTGAGTCAATATCAAACCTCAATAACTCCTTGAACCCTAACCTTGATCTTCACCTAACAAATACACATACAACTATAAATCACTAACGTCTCTAAATGTCAACAAATCCTAATTAAATGGAATGTTACACTTCAGTCACCCCCTCTTGAATTCAAATGTTGTAAAGCAATTTAGTGATTATTGTGTTGCTTATTTTGCAAACAAATCCAAACTACAAGGATACTAAAGCACAATTTTGCAAGGAAATAGTAAATTAGTACATCCTCCACTACATTTTATATAACACCTCCACGTGATCCATTAACCACCATTATCCATTTCCCTTTCTTAAATACCCATTTCGAATTCCAGATTTGCACAGCAAAATTAACAAGGCAAAATTCCATAATGGTAACATTTTTAAATTCCAAAAAGTTCTGCTAGAGATTCAGCCCTAGTATTAGTCCCATTGCAAAAGCAAAACCTGTCTGAGAAAATTGCAACCCTGTTGCATAAGTTGTCTTTTGATTTTTATGTGAAAATACGGGATTAGAACTCTTAGTGTTCATTTGGTTCGGATTGGGCAGCAGATTGGATTTATTTATATCCCAGATTCCCGGGATTGTTTATCCAATCTCAGGCTCAAGTTTTGAAGCAACCAAGGGAAAGGGGAGGAGAGAGAGAGAGTATGTGTGTTGTTAATCCATCTTCTTCGATCCCGCTAACCAATTTACCCTGAGGTCATGTTAATTATAAACTCTATGCTTGCCCATCTAGCTTTTGTAAATATTTTGAGAATCATCTAATTTAATATTTTCCTATTAAGATAAAGTTGTTACTGATTTTTTATTTTTTTTTAAAATCAAGTGTTTGATATGTGAATTACAATCTCTGCTCCTTCTTTAGGGGAGACACTTAGATTCAGGGCAATTCTCATTTCTCCTGTAAATTTCACAACATTTTTAATTTCTATCATAGATGGATTTTCTTTTCTTTGCAACCCCTACAAACTAATGTATTGCATCATTTTGGGAATCTCAATTAAAGGCTTTCTATTATTAGTGTTCGCAATTTTTTATGGCAATGTTTGCAATTCCTGGTTTTTAATTTTTAATGATTTGATGTTGAATGTTTATGCATTTTTGTTTTAGACTCTTTAAGGACTGGAGCTGGAGAGGAAGAATTGGACCAGAACTTACAAAAAGATGCTCCTCTCCTGAAAAATTTATACCACGAAGTTTTACTTAAAGATAGAATGCCAAATTCAGGGGCTAAGCACAGACAAATAGTAAGTTCTCTGAATGGTTTGCATCAAACGCCCCTTCAAGTGGTGGTTGGTTCCATGCTAATTGCAACAGACATGCTTCTGAATTCTCATCCATTTGGTGAATCCATAATTCTCATTGTGAAAGGAAATCAGAGCTTAGGATTTCAAGGTCTAATTGTGAATAAGCGGATCAACTGGGAGTCTATAGATGAAGTCGAGGAAGGTTTAGAATTTCTTAAGGCAACTCCTCTATCTTTTGGTGGTCCTGTACTCAAACGCGGAATGCCTCTTGTGGCTTTGTCAAAAAGAATTATTGAAGATCATAATCCGGAAGTCCTTCCAAACATCTACTTTCTTGATCAAGAAGCTACACTCCGTTTACTAGATGAAGCGAAAGCGGGAAACCAATCTGTCCATGATGTTTGGTTCTTCTTGGGATTTTCAAGATGGGATGGGGACCAACTAGTTAACGAGATTATTGAAGGAGCTTGGACTCTGAGCAAAGGTACCGAGGAGAAACTAGGTTGGCCTCTAATGTAAACTAAACCATCAAAAGTAGGGTGATCAAAGATTCAAGACCCATGTAGGATTAGCATAGCCTACAGTATAACCACTTGTATCACAGCTGTACATAAGATTTTTTTTCTCTCTCACATGATTAAGTGATTAACAGCATGTATGATTGCTTCATTCTGAGTTTATCCAGTTTTGACTACAATGAAGGAAATAGTGGTTTTTCATATCTGACATTGATTTATCTATTGCTTGTGGAGAATTTTGCTTTAACTTTTCCTAAATTGATCAATTTATTGTGTCCAAAGTCCTAACAAGACTTTCTTTTGGCAATTTCTGCAAATACCACAAAGTAATGCAAATCCATCCCTTGAAAATGCACTTGGTATATTATGAGCCTATACAAGTCTGAAGGAACATTATTCCTCATCAGCATTGCCATTTTATTCACTCAGCTTTGCTACTTTATATCTATTAGGTTTACATATATCACTTTCTACACAAATAAATGAGCTATTAATAAATGTACATGTTTCATAACCCTGCATTTTTTAGCTCCAACAATCTAGACCACCTCCTATCAACTGGGGCAGCATTCTGTTTATCGAAAACTGCAAGACACAAAAACAAATTGCTTCAGTAACAGCTAAGCTTTTGAGTGATTATTAGTTCTTGCATCTCTTAGGGTTCTTACACTGCAATTTAGGTTCAGACTTCTCACAAGACTCTGAACAAGTCTCCTACAGAAGGAAAAACCAGCAAGTTAAGCACATGCAGAACATCGAGGAATGTGAGGATCAAGCATTTACCACTACGCCAAAAGTTATAACTTATAGTGAAGGTGTAAATTTATTTCTCTATATACCGCCACATTTTCCAGAGGTATGGTGCCTAACAATGACCATTCACTCCTTCAAGCCTCCGTCCAACAATTCCCCTTGCCACCAGGGTGTTGGGCCGAGGCCTGATTGCTGGACTTAGCTCTGATACCACTTGTTAAGATCAAACTCTTACTACTACACCAAAAGTTATAGCTCGTAGCGAAGACGCAACTATATTTTCATATCTATGCATACCTTCACCGAGGTTGCAAGCCGAACTGTGTCCTGTACGAGTGAATCGAGGTTGGCTTCATGTCCCGGCTTCACATAGATAACCTGATAGTCAGACATGAAAAACTTAATGTGTGAGGTCTGTGTTATTTGTGTACTGTCTGGTACAGAAAGCAACACTAAAGACTTACTGAGGGATCTTCATAGCCTAGAAGGGGGAGTTCTTGAGCAGAGGCCTTTGGCCTGCTTGGCAGAACCCAAACGTTAAAATTTGCATCAATCTGAGAGCACCCATAAAGTATAATTAGGCATGTTACAGAACACAAATCAAAGGAATTGAAGGCAATACACAATGCACATTAGTAAAGCTAGATTACCAAAATGAAGACTAAAAATAATCCTTTTTTCTACAAGTTTGGATTATTTAAGCCATTTATCCATAAATATAATCCATGCTTCAAAAAGGGGATCTTTAGAGGGCAATTCTAGCCAAGTTGGTCAGAAAGGTTACAAGTTCGACTCCCAACAGCCAAGGCATGTTTTTTTATTTTTGTGGCCCAGTTCTTATAAATAAATTAGGCTCCGGTGTAACACCATCAGAATGCAAAAATCGCAGTTCCTATCGTAAAATATATGATGTTTATTTCAAATAAGTATATATGAACGTTGTAAATATTAGGCCCTCTAAAAATTGAGGCCCTGTGCTATTGCCCATCTTGCACGCCCCAAAATCCGGCCATGCAAACGGGAGCTGCCTATTTGACCTTCTTAGTTTGAGTTGGTCAGCACAACCTAGCCTAGTTTACCTTCTTGTGATCCTTTTGCCAGCTACGGTCATAAGGCGGGGTTTACTCAATGCACACAATTAGCTAGATAGTGGGTGCGAGTTTCCCTTGTCATCCAAACCGGGATCTTTATAATAGAATGACAAAAGCTATTATGAATGCTTGAGCAAACTACATTATTGAATAGTTGAAGTACCTCTCTGCAGAAAGGTGAGGAGCAGTTGCTGCATTTTCTGGTGAAGGATGCTATGACCCTACCATCCACAGAGAGACCAAAGCCTGCATGCTGATAATATAAACAAATTAAATTCTTGGTTTAGCTTCACTTCTCACTATTTCACCCACACTACAATTTGTTTTCTTTGAGCCAAAAGGTGGAATTGCCCACCTAGGCACTCCCACACCTCGGCCTGACAGCACCGTGGAGGGGTAATTCATGGTGACTCAACTGATAAACAGATACCAGATTTTTGTTCACGGGGCACAAAGAGCCCCTCATTTGAGAAATTGCTCGTGCATCACTAGTGAGACTCGACCATTGGTCTCTTGTGACAAATTTCACCTCTGTGAACAGCGGGGGAGCTGCACATGTGGCCCCATTTGTTTTCTTTTTGACATATTACTATCACACCATTATGGATTGCAACAAAAGAGCAGTCTTTACTCTTTATGGTGTGGTACTAACTAAGCCTGATCATATCAAAATATGAACCTTGTGAATGCAGAGACTAACAGAAACTTGGGCATCTTGATTGATGTCTTCTGCTAATTCTTGAAGGTGGAGATCCCTGAGAGGGAAGGTGTAGTCAGAGTTCCAGCTTCCCTGCCATTTCCCATCTGATGTAGATATAGTTATCAGGCGGCGCCCCGGCCTTTGAGTTTTTTTCTTTATCTAGAAATTAAATGTGAATAATAATAACAGTGAGTATATGTATCTATATATGACATTTATATAGACATAAATGTGAAGAATGAAGGAACGATGAGCAATATAATGTTGGGAAGTGAGGTGTTACCAAAGGGAGGTGGTCATTTCTTTTAGGTGAAGAAGACTGTGAAGCTGAACTGTTGGTGGTGGCTCTTGGGAAAATGTACAAAGATTTAGCCTCAAATGGCCTAGTACTGGGAAGTGTATTCATGTTTAATTCTTGAAGATATCCAATTTCCTGCTTGTTTTTTTTTTTTCTTTCTATGTGTGTTGGGTAATGGCCAAGGGGTATGGTCTTATACTCTTATCCTCAACACATGGTTGGCAATTTTACACCATTTCCTTTAATTAATAATTCACCCGCCCCAAAAAAAAGTCAACTTGCCAAGAACATAGATTGATATTTTAGCTCTGTACGGATTTAGCTCATAGTTCAGTAAGCAGTATTTAAGAAAAGAAACTAATATTTGAATTTCGATAGCAGCAGTGTGTAGATTATGCCTAAAGTGGACAGATCCCTTTTGGAACCTCCAGATACTGCTAGCTGGAGACGAAGGTTTTCGTCTCCGGACAGAGATGAATTGTCTCCGACTGGCAATTCTTGTTTTCCTTTTTCTTTTCTTTTTTTTTTTTAAAAAAAATTATGAAGTAATTAATTAGTTATTTAAAATTATTTTTAAAATCGATAATCGTCACATCAACATATTTTCAGGTAAACATGTAATTTTGAGTTAAATTGTATGAGTTTGTATCGTTTCGAGACTCAATTGTATTATTTTGTAATTCGATGACTTAATTGCAGTTTAGTGTGCAATTGAGTGGCTTATTTAACCCTTATTCCATACACAAATAATGTACATTCAGTATAATAAAATATAGGCACAAGCGTCAAATAAGCCCATCTACTATTGCGAAGTGCTCGATTTTCACCACGAACTAAATTAAGTGTCAAATAGGTCCATCTACAAGTTGAATTTGTTCAATTAACTTTTTTCACAGGTTAATAACAACTTACCTATTTAATTATTAAAATAAATAAATTAAATTAAATTTAAAAAAAAAAAAAAAAAAAAAATACAGCCACCGCCGGACAGCCGGTGGCTGTATTCTTTTTAATTTTTTATTTTTTAAATAATTTTGAAATTTTTTTTTATAATTGAATTGGTAACCTGCAAAAAAAAAGTCAATTACCTGCCAAAAAAAAATGTAATTGAACAAATTTAATAGGTAAGTGTGGTTAATTAGCCTTTAATTTAGTTCATGATGGGAATTGAGCACTTAACAATAGTACATGGACCTATTTGACACTTCTCCCTAAAATGTATTATACTATCCATGATATAGTGATTGCCCTATCCGACACAATAATATCAAGAAAAACAATCTAAATAAATATCATGATTGCCCTATCCGACACAATAATATCAAGAAAAACAATCTAAATAAATAACAATGGGTATAAATAGGGAAACTATCTATTTCTCAATCTTTGGGATACTCTCAAGCCTCAAAGTATCCCAGGAGGGACTACAAACAACAGAACCCAGATAGCCAAGGGGTTCAAAGAGTACAAAAGTAAAATAAAAGGAGAGACAGAGATCAGATACAAGAACCAAAAGAGAGAGATTGCAGGCTAAGCCTCTTTCATGTTTCATTTCTCGTGACTCTTACTAGAACTCATAAACACAGGCAAATATCTCTTTGTTCTATACGGGCAGCCGAAAAAGCGAATAATATTTTCACAGTCCTTCGTTGTGGCTTCGTCGCTATCAGGTGAACTTAAATGACTCAAGTACGTCTTCCCCTCGTAAATGTAGCATAGCTGCTGCCATAAGAGCACGCTTAAGCCTATCTCCACAGAAACGCTAGACATAAACAGGTACATGAGAACCAAAGCTCTTGCAGGTAGAAACAACATAGAACTTAGAAAGGTGATAATGAATTCCCTCACTGCTCTGAAGAGCAATTCGTGATCAAGAACTCCGGGCCATGGCTTAATGGTTCCATATCTAAATCGCGGCCAAATATGATACGCTGCGTAAGCAGACATGAAGGTAACGTAGACTGTGCTGGTGACCGCTGAAATGAGGAACAAGATGAAGGATCGGTGGTTTGCTGCACCAACACAATTGCCAATCTGACAAAACCAACGGTGAGAGATTGTTATTCCTTGGGTTAATTAAGATACAACTTCCACACATATATATAGGCTAATATTCAAGTGCATCCACCTGTTCCCGTGAGACCCTTAGCAAAATGCACACAATCTACTACACGAATGCACACAGGGTAAATTGTGTGCATTCATGCTGGATGAATTGCACACAATCTAGTCTTTGTGCATTCTTATAGTAAATTGTGTGCATTAGTGAATGGTCTCACGGGACTCGTGGGAAGAGGTGGTCTCATTTGATTATTACTATATATATATATATATATATAGTCTGTGTGCATTAGTGAATGGTC